AACCTCCCTTACAGGTCATCTCCTTCTAATGCACACAAGGCAAAAGGAAGCACCTATTCGTAGATAGAACCAGGATTTACGAGGTACAACAAGTAGACTTATCCCCCACTTTCATGCTCATCAATCACATACTCAGGTACATCGCATCACTTACTCATTGTCCACTCTCAACCACAACTCAAATTGAACCTAAACATAACCACTAGCCTCAATCTTTGATTACCATCATGTTCCACGGCTCCTCATTCTTGGTTCAAATCCATTCTTCACCAAATTCACCATTTTTCACCAAAATGCATTGTGATAATCGATTATCACATAAGATAATCGATTATCTCAGTGAAATTTACCTAGAAACATCACGTAGGAAGGGATAATCCATTATCATCCTAGATAATTGATTATTCTCAAAATCACACTCAAAACCAACGCGTAGATAATCGATTATAATTAATGATAATCAATTATTTCCGAATCGAACACATCCTAGATATGATTCAAGCATTCAAACATACATATATCAATCCTAAATCACGTGGAAACATAGTTAACACATCATACATGCATTCAAGCATCACATATCTATGTAAACATACTCAAACACACATAATACATCATTTGAATCATCTAGATACAATAATTGACATACTATACCCTCAATAATAAGGTACAAAAGAGTCTCCGATAAAAACACCAAATGGGTTTTTCAATCAACCAAACTAACTAAGCATATGCTTACAAATGAGAACAAAGAAGATGAAAATTCTCCAAAACAAAGCTGCTGATGTGAGGCTGTTTTCTCCCAAACTAGACCTTCGATTGACGATCAGAACAGTCATAATGAAGAACCATATGTTTGGAACACACAACGACGAAATCATCAGTGCAGGTTTAATGTTATACAAGAATAATTTCCTCTTTTCGTTTAGGTTGTTCTCTCCCAAATTAGACCTCCTATGGACGATCCAAACGGTCAGAATGAAGAAACATACGTCTGGAACCCACTGTCCAAATATTAGCAAGATCCAACGGTGAACGACTTCACAACGATGAAAACACCAGTGTAGATTTTGTGTTATGCGAGATAATTTCTTCTCTTCCTTTCTCTCTCACTTAGCTTTTTCCTCTCTTCAAATGACTCTAATGTTCACTACTAATTTGACTCACCTCCATTAAAACAAAGTGAGACATAATGGTCCACATTATTTGGCCCATTCTCCACATAGGAAGGGATCCCAATAACCCAACACTTACAACATATATTTGCATGGAAACCCCCAAGCATCATAACTTTGTTCTCCCTTAGCATCAAACCCTCTATTGGGATAACCCAACAACCCATATATAAATTCATAGGGAAAACCCAACACAAATATTACATGAACCCTATGCCCATTCATACACAAACCCTTGCCCAACAATAGTAACATATAATCATAATCATATAAATATGTATCAACAAGGATTATCAATCCAAAATAACCAAGAACACATATAACACACATCATAAAAAAACAAAGGTAAGCTTCCCATACCTTGGCCAATCATAAGGATTTATCTACAACCCTAAAACACCATCAATCTTCCTTTACACCAAGAGTTTCTCGTCGCTCTCTCTCTTCTTCTCCCAAAACGCCAATCTCCTTTCTTTCTCTATTTTCTCTCATTAATTTAGAGTTTCTAGGGTTTCTAAACACAAAACCACCTTTTTCTCTATATTTTAATATTTATGAATCCACCTAACTTTATCTGTAATATTTCTCACTTATAATAATACTTTTTATTTTAATTTATTATAATGAGTCTATCAATAATATATATTATTATTATCTAGCCATAATATCTAATTATATATAATAATATCTCAATATATCATTTAATGTATCTACAATATCTAATAATAATAATATCACTTTTAAATATCTAAATCCACCAAAATTTTATCTCTTATCTTCTGTCAACTACTTTATTTCTAAGACTCCTATTTTCTCGGGTCTTACATTAAATGCCTAGGAAGAGGACATATAGCTGCTTAGTGTCCCACCAAGAGAACCATCATCATGAAGGGCATTGACATCTATAGTAGTGAGGAAGAGTCCAAAACTAATGAGAGTGAGAGTGAACATGAAGAAGAGTTAAATGGAGAGGAAGTTTATCCTTGTTCTAGCAAACTTCTCATGGTGAGAAGGGTTCTTAACAACAAACCATGTGTTGAACACATGTCCTAAAGAGAGAACATCTTTCATACAAGATGGCAAATTCAAAAGAAAACTTGTTCTCTCATTATGGGCAATAGATCTTGTTGTAATTGTTGTAGCACTAGATTGGTTGAAAAGTTGAACCTAACTATGATGCTCCATTCTATTGTAAAGACTTATTGAATTTGAATTTCTGCAATGGTATTATGATTTTAAAGTTCTAAATTTTTATTCGTTATAGTGACATCCCAAAATTAGGGTGTTACAAAGATTTTCTTCATAATTCACTCAAACACCTTCCATTCATTTATTAGTTCCACTGCCTCATCCATTCTTTGACTCTATTTTGCATCTATAACCGTGAAGAGCTCGAATCCAGCCATGAAGGGAACTTATCACCCTTACTACCAAGCTTGCAATAAATGCCACATTAGTATCCCTTAATGCCATACGAGAAATCCACAACATCTAAACTGCAAATTGGGAAACCAGAGACCTATTCAGTTGACTAAATTGGATTTCCTAACTAAGTGAATGGTTAAAAAACAAGTTTAGGTGTCACAAAGAATACCAAATCACTTCAATGGCCAGATTCTCATTTCCTCAACTCAACACAATTTTTAGTCTAAACAAGCACACATTCAACAGAATTCACAACAACAACTCCACATATCAATTTATCATGTTCAAAAAAACAAACATAGGTACACTATTAAGCAAAACTCTCAACAGAAAATCCTTATAATATACTTATCAATTATAGACCAATTCAAACATGTTACACAACACACTACCATAAATTTTAAAACAAAATTTTTATAGTGACTCAATAAATTAAAACAACAATTCCAATCAGTCACATACCATCAAATGTACACACATTAATGAAATTATATTAGAAATTGAGAATAATGGTATTTAGCTTCCCTTACCTAACAAATGACCAAAACGCTCTATTTGCTCTTACGAACAATAGAAACATGATTAAGGTATATGTTAGGACCACTAATTAGCAGAAAGTCTTATAGAAAACTCCAACATCACATGCAACCACGAAAAGCTTACATGCAAGAGAGAAAACAAAACTAACCAAAGAAAGAAGCAAAAACCAACTTTCTTTATCTGAGAAATTAATCAGATGTACTTGAAGATATCGTCTCAAGATCACTCAAGAAATCTCTAATCTTCAAACAAATGAACAATGAGTGAGAACTCTTGAAGACAAGTTAGAGAAGTGGCTTAGAGATAAAGTGTTTTAAAATTATGAAACTCGTTCATATTAAATTTATTTATATTAAAATCTTTTAATTTTAAAATAATTTATCCTCATTATTTTTAAACTACTGTCACCTCTAAAATGTAATTTTCTATATCTTTACATATTATAAATATTTTTATTATGTAAATACTTTTTATTACAAGTAATTATTTATATATGAAAAAGTAATTACTAGAAAAACCGCAAAATGATATTTTTATACGTAATTACTTAGAATTCAAAAAATAGTTATTAAAACGGTAAAATTAGAATTTTAAAATATTGAATCCCTTATTAACTAGGAAAAATATGTGTTAGTTACATATATATGTGTCTTTTTTTTTATTAGAGTCAAAATTTACTAAATTATAAAGGGTTAAATATGTTTTTAGGCCCTCAAGTATCAAACGTTTTTGGGTTTGGTCTCTCTTCCAAAGTTTGCTTCACTTTGATCATTTTCCTTAGAAAAATATAATTTTTAGTCCTCCAACAGTAACGATGTTAAATTTTGGCTGAGCTAGCTAATGGTGTGCCACATCACTTTTCCTTTTTCTGAGACGTGTCTATCCTTCCTTCCTGCATCTTCTTGCTGAGTCTTCTCTCCCTCCCTTATTCATCTCTATCATCCTCCGAACTCCTTTCATCGTCGGGCCGCCCCCTCTCCCTCTTTCTCCGGTCGATAGCAAATCCCTCTACATCGACCAAACCAGCACCAACATCTCTTGCTTCGTCTCCATCGTCGACGAGTACACTGACCTCCTTTACTCCAACGGTGTACTCATCGGCGATGGAGATGAAGCGGGAGATGTTGGCCTCGGTCTGGTGGGTATAGAGGGATTTGCCACTAGTCGGAGACAAAGAAAGAGGGGGCGGCCCGACGATGAAGATAGTTCGGAGGATGATGAAGATGAATAAGGGAGGGAGAGAAGCCTCAACGTGAAGATGCAGGAAGGAAGGATCAACACGTTTCAGAAAAAGGAAGAGTGATGTAGCACGTCGTGAGCCATCGGCCAAAATTTAACGTTGTTGTTTTTGGAAGACTAAAAATTATAGTTTCCTAAGAAAAATGATCAAAGTGAAGAAAACTTTGAAGGAAGGACGAAACCCAAAATCCCTTGATAATTGAGAGATTAAAAACATATTTAACCCAATTATAAAATACTTTTTATTAAAAAATTATAAAAAGAATAATTTGTATATTTTTTATTATATAAGTAATTTTTTATTATAAATAATAATTTTTAAATTAAAAAAAGTAGTTAGTAAAAGAATAATATCAAAAAATATTTTCTTAATCATTTAAATTTAAAAAGATAATTATTAAAAGATAAAATGAAAAAGAAATGTATTTGTCCTTTTTACATAATAGTAGCTATAGATAATATAGATTTAAATATAAATAATACATGTATTTAATAAGGAGGAACTAAATACATCAATATATCTTTTATTAAATATTAAAGATAAAAAAATGGTTTAAATTATTTCCATAGCCTGATTTTTTATACTATTTATTCATAGTTTTGTTTTTAGCAATTATTCAGACTCACTCAATTTGAAATCTACTAACCCAAATAGCTGTTTTTCAACCTAATTCGCGTCCTCATCCTCCATCTCTCCGAGTTCACTCGCAGGGCTTTCTGTCTCTTGGCTTCGGAGGTATAGTCTTTAATTTGCTTTCTCTCTTTTTGATCCATGTGCTAACCTTCGGAATCGTATTTATTTTCCATTGTTGATAAACAGAGGATTTTAATGGGTCAAACACAAATGTTGTTTATTCCAAAACTGGGTAAAGTTGGAAGTTTCTCTGTTATTGGAATTTAGGGTTAAATGATTATTAGTTATACTTGTTATTTTTTTCTTATTATATCCCGTTTTCGTATAGCTTTTGGCAGTGATCTCTAATTTTCAATCGAGGAATTTGTGTTTCAAACACTGTTTCTTTTTCTAGCTTTTAGGCTAAGCGAGATTGACTTCGTTCTCCTGCAGGACAACTCTGCTACTAAACTGCAAATTTTGATTTTTATCGCTACGAAGGGTATTCAAAATAAGGGTATTCAAAATAAGGGTATTCAAAATAAGGGTATTCAAAATAAGGGTATTCAAAATAAGGGTATTCAAAATAAGGGTATTCAAAATAAGGGTATTCAAAATAAGGGTATTCAAAATAAGGGTATTCAAAATAAGGGTATTCAAAATAAGGGTATTCAAAATAAGGGTATTCAAAATAAGGGTATTCAAAATAAGGGTATTCAAAATAAGGGTATTCAAAATAAGGGTATTCAAAATAAGGGTATTCAAAATAAGGGTATTCAAAATAATGTCGTGCAAATTGGCCTAGGTTTATCTTATTGTGTTTTTTTTTTTTAATGTTTTTGTTAGGATATTTATCCTATTTTATCATCATTATAGTGTGTCAAGGGTTACCCTATTTATCATGATTATATTTTATATTGTGTTTAGGATTACCCTATTATATTGTGTCTAGGGTTACCCTATTTATCATGTACTTGTGTATCAATTTATCAATTTATTCTTATAATTTTTATCTTTCCCTTTTTAAGTAGTTAAGCTTCTGAAAGAATTAGGATTCTTATCAAAGAGCTATTAAAGGGAAACATTTTTAATAAAATTTTGAGAGGCTTACTTAGTTTTCATGTTTCAATTGCTTGGCTTTCCTTGGTATCAAATTAAACTTTTTAGTCACTTCTGTTGAATTAGAGAAACTTTGGTGGGATGTTATTTGCACTATCAAATTGGATTTCTGTGTTATAAACAGAATCTTGTGTGTTACCATGCTCTTTTTGCTAGCATATTGATATGTGGTATTATAGGAAGATCATTAATTTTGTTTTTGCAATAAAATCAATTTTCTGGGGTGTACAATTTGTTAAGTGCATTATATACATCTTCTTTTTATGATTAGATCTCTAAATTACCTTTGAAATTGGTTTCTAATCATTTGTTCATTTTTTTTTTCAGTTTTAATTTTAGTGAGTTGATATGTACAATGGAATAGGATTACAGACCCCAAGAGGGTCTGGTACAAATGGGTACATTCAGAGTAACAAGTTCTTTGTAAAGCCCAAGATTTCAAAGGTTTCGGAAAACACAAAGGGATTTGAGTCAGATCAGGGCACTGCTGGGCTTTCCAGGAAGCCCAACAAAGAGATCCTTGAGCATGATCGCAAGCGTCAGATCGAGCTTAAGCTTGTCATCCTTGAAGACAAGCTCATCGATCAGGGCTACACCGATGCTGAGATTGCTGAGAAACTCGAAGAAACTCGCCAAAATTTGGAAGCTGCTGCTGCCACTGATGAGCTTGCATCTGTATCTGCATCAGATAAGAAGTAATTGATCTTGAATTCTGATATTTGTGTTAGAATTGTGGTTTTTGTGAAGTAATTATGTTAGCATTGTGATTGTTACTATTTGTGATGTGATGCCGGTATCTGTGTCAGAAGAAGTTATTGATCTTTTATGGCATGTCTTGGGGTTGTGATTCTTGTGATATAATTGTTTCAATCATGCTTTTTGTTGATGAGCTCTTTTATCTTTTTGGCGAATTATTCTGTTTCCTAGTTTTTGTCTGTCATCTAAGTTAATCCTCAACTCTTTTTGACAAGAAAGCTCAATGTAAGAACAAAAGGAAACTTAGTCTCTTGATCTTTTACGTTTGGGCTTTACTAAATTGAATAGAATTAAGTGTAACAGAAAATTCAAATGGTAACATCCTACGTTTAGATGGTAGGAACATATCATTGTCTATACCTCCACAACATCTGTGAATCAAATCTGGTACACCGATTATCCAATTCTTACGATATGCTTTATCCGAAGGCTGTTGCTCCACATCTATTCAAGCAGCCAAAGCAGCTATTTTTGCAGCCAAAGAACAAAGAATGGCTGCTGGAGCTGTCAAATCACTGCACTGCAGTCTACACTTCCTCCGTTCCATTTCAGTTGTGTTTACTGTTGTGGATTAAGAAGGGAGGTATCCCACAACCCTAAAATATACTACAACGTATTAGCTTCTTTTTCTTATGTTAGGGTCTTTTATATTTTAGTACCAAGACAAACACCACCCGGTCTCATCTTATCACTTTGGGCCAAACGTTATCTATTGGACCGTTTTATTCGTAGGCTTTCTAATATTTCTTTTATCAAAATATAAATAAGAAAATCTAGACTCATTAAGTTGAAGGTTTTAGATTGGAAAACAATGTGTGTTCAGACTCCGGCTGATGTGTGTATCTATCTATCTATCTATATATATATATATATATATATATATATATATATATATATATATATATTGAGTAATTGACAATACAACTTTGAGAAATCATAAATAAGGGTTACTGGCTATAACATAATAGGTATAACAAAAGCAGATAAAGACTATACATCTAAAGATAATCATTATTCAACGCATTATAATTAAGTTATATTTTCATATTTAAACTAAGATATTTTGGAAACTGGAATGAAAATAATTTTGAATGTCATTTGGAAAATGAGCTGTCCGATTCATACTTTCGTATCCTAATTCGACTACCATAATTGCATTATTGGAATATATGTTGGAAGTCCGGATTAGAGATAAGGCGAATTCATAGTGTATAAGTGAGTGCAAACCTCACTTTACAAGCTAGTTTAGTTTTGTGGAGTTGAATTAGGCTTAAAGTCCATTTCTACATAATATAAGGTTGTTTTAATTATTTTAGTGGTGTTGGTAGATGTTTTGAAGGCATAAATGTATTTAGATTTGGATTAATGTGAATGGAGTATATGCCACTTTTTGACTGGTATGTGTAAAGTTATGACTAGATATAATTAATAAAAATTCTTTGGAGTTTTTCAGGGTTTCAGATACACAGACTCATCAAATTGCTGCTAGAAAGGAAAAACAGATGGAATCTTTAAAAGCTGCTCTTGGCATTGTATCATCTGAATTCAATGAAAATGCAGATGGGACTGATGGCCATGGGAATGATGGGAAAAATGGTTCTAACATGGATGGGAAACATAATTCAAAGCCAGAACATGCCTTTTTGGACAGAGATTTCAGTAGGAAGAAACAAATGGTTGAAGGTCAAAACGATGAAAATGTTAAGAAGAGCCTTAGAGATACAAGGCACCATAAGAAGATTGGAACTCGTGAGAAAAAGTCCGAGGATGATTCTTCTGATTCTTCTGACTCTTCTGAATCTTCTGATTCAGAAACCTCTTCTCCAAATGAGAAGAGAAGTACAAAGAAGCGTGGTAAAAATTATGCAAGCAGCAGTGATGAATCTGATTCTGATAGTGATCCTAAGAGGAAGGTCAAGGCCAAAAAGAAGATGAAAATTCCTAAGCACAGCAAGAAGGGTAGGGTGGAGGATAGCAATTCTGATGACAGCAATATTGCAAGAAAAAGTTACAAGAGACTAGAGTCTCATAAGAAGCACACTTCAGAGTACGATTCTGATCATCATGATGACGTCCCCAAGCATAAGACTAAGGATGGGATTAAACATTCAAAAATGAGCAGACGTCATGATTCTGAGGAGGAATCTGATATTGATAGTGAGGAAAAGAAATATGGTAGACCTGGGAAGCAGAGGACAAGAAGGCATAATTCTGAGGATGAGGATTCTGATAGAGACCGTGTTAAGCATCCTTCGGGTCATGACAAAAATGTTAAAAGGGGAACATACACTTCCTCTGAGAATAGCAGTGACAGTGATTCAGAAAGAAATTATAGTGATCATAGATATGGAAAAAAGGGTAGTTCTGCTGTAGCAAAGAAAGGTAAAGGGTATGACATGAAAGAAAGTAAATCCAGAGATAGTGGTGCAGAAAAAGGGAAGAACGGTGCTAACACTGATGCATTGGACTCCCTGAAAAGGTCATATGGGAAAGATTTTACCCAGGGACCGAATAGTAGAACTCAAGAAATGATACACAGTAACAGGAAAACTCGTACAGAACGAGATAGGGAGCCCTTCCCATTTGCCAAGCATGATGGAGATGATAGAAAAACTGAGACTGAATCTAAATCAGTTAGGCTGGCAGGGCGTGATGATGATACCTCTGAGCAGAGAGGCAGAGATTATTATAACAAGGATGTTGAATCACATTTTGTTGGTCAGGCTGCCCGCTATGGTGAGGATCATTTAGCAAGGAGGCATAGAAGAGATGATGATAATCACATGGGTAATGATGACGGTGGGGAAAGAAAACGTGGAAGGGATGAAGATCGCAGAGAAAGAAATCACTTGAAGGATGAGGGTGTTGGAGAAAGAAAGCATGCTAGGGATGAAGATGATTCCAAAGAAGAGAAGCACGGAAGGCATGAGGATGGTCGGGGAGTTAACCGAACAGGAAGAAAGCACTCAAGATATGAGGATGATCTTGGAGAAAGAAAACAGGCAAGGGATGATGATGATTCTAAAGAAGGGAACCGTAGAAGAGATGAGGATGACCAAGGAGAGAGGAAGAACTTGAGGGATGTAGTTGACCGTGTTGAGAGGAAGCGTGGTAGGGATGAAGATTATCAAACAGGAAGAAATTACACAAGGGATGAGGATGAACATAGAGAAAGAAAGTTCAGAAGGGATGAGGATTATCATGCAGCAAGAAAGTTCAGAAGGGAGGATGATAATGATTATGGAGAAAGGAAGCACTTAAGGGATGAGAGTGATGTTCATATGGAAGCAAAACACAATAGGGTTGAGGATGGTCGTGGAGAACGTAGGAACTCAAGGGAGGATGATGATATAGAGAGAAGGCACTCAAAGGATGAAGATGGTCGTAGTGAAAGAAAGCACAGAAGGGATGATGATGACGATGGTCGTAGTGAAAGAAAGCACAGAAGGGATGATGATGATGGTCATGAAGAAAGAAAGCGGCGAAGGGATGATGATGGCAGAGGAGAAAGAAAGCACAGGAGAGAGGGATGATGATGGCAGAGGAGAAAGAAAGCACAGGAGAGAGGAGGAGGACCGCATAAGGGATGAGAGGGAAAGCCGAGGAGATTATTCCAGAAGAGCCAAATACTAAGTTTTTCTTTCTAGTGGAGCAATGGAAGACTTCTGAACTGTGATCCAAGCATTGGGAATACTTATTTTCTGCTTTAATTGCCCGTGTGTTGGTTTTGCTTTTTGAACGATATAACTTGTGTTTGAAATACTTTTCTTATGTGCTTATTTCAAATCCTGTATTCTGCTGTGACTGGTAGTTTTTTTAAAAGTAAAATACAAAAGTTACTTTTGTTAAAATTATATTTCAGAAGCTTGGACTAATTGTCAGGCTTCGCTAGTATAATTGTTGAATACCATAAAAGTGAAATGGTGCATGTGCCGATTTTTTTCAATCAATGCGGAATAACGATTATATCTATTATATACGGAGATAAACAAACCTATTTTACTTTAATATTTAGGCTCATACTTAAATAGCATTTAAATACTATTTTATTATTTAGTTGCTCTTCGTTAAGTTCTTTAACAAGAGATGACAATCTTTTTGTTTATAAGGTAGCTGCACAATATACTTAATACAACCATTTAATCAATAGAACTCTGATATTGAGCTTAAAACATTGTAGTTTTCAAGATAAAATGATTTGCGGTGCTTATTCCCGCACATCAAAGTCTTCTCCCTGTACTTTCAAATTTTTCGTTAATCACAAAAGTACTGTTCTGCACTTTCAAATTTTTCGTTGATCACAAGAGTACTGTTCTAACTAGGGTCAAATTTTCTCTTCTATAATTGATTTCACCCACTCACAACCATCCACTTTTACCTTGAAAGCCTAGTGTCTCACCTTCTCTCTTTCCCCTTTCTCTCGACCTCTTGTAGAAATTGCTCTTGGATTTCGTCTCTCCAATCCAGCACATGTTTGCTCTCGGATTTTGTCATTGTACCAACTAACTTTTGTTCTTCATCCCTGCACACCGAATATCATAGGTACATAGTTCTTTTCATTTTCGTTTAGATTTGTTGGTTTACATTTCATTTTTCTTTCCAGATTTCATTTTATATGCACTCAGAAATGATACATCTGTATGAATTTGGAAAAATAGGGTTAACCAGATTTCACTAAATTTTGAAATCTAGTTACGGTTCCATTAGATTTAGATTGTGAACCAGATTTAAAATTGTATTTAAAATTTGGAAAAGTCCTTAACTGGATTTGAAATCGAGTGAAGGTCTAATTGATTTTTGAAATTTGGTGAAGGCTTAACCAAATTTCAAAATTTGATAAAAGACTTTATCAGATTTTGAAATTTAGTGAGTGTGTATCTATATCTTTTTTTAATTTTTTTTTCATGTTTTAATAATTTATAAATTTGTTTGTTATATATATATATATATATATATATATATATATATATGGTAAGAACATAAGATGCATCTACATATCAGGCTAAGAGTTCTTCATAAGGTGAACGTAGAAAGAGACTTGCAACATCAAATTGTAAAAGGGGTCACCCTGAAGAAGTTGGGGCATTACATCATCTTGATGTTCATAAAAGCACGAAGATGTTATTACGAACCATGATGATGTTGTTGAGCAACACAGGAATGTTATTTAAGAAAAACATAAAGTAGGTTGATTTTCTAGAGGTCCATAAGATAAATCATTGTTGACAAGCTATGTCGTTCATGTTGCATATGTGTTATGACAAAGCTTGGTTAGTATAGTAGTTGTTTTTTTTAATTTAGATGGTTGACGAGTTGTTTGAACTTTGTATCTAATTGTTTTGTGTAGGACTAAAGGTAAATCAAGTTGGTATCCTATGGTAAAATGTTAAATTGGAACATGTCATTTGGCTATTCAAGATTTTGTGTTAAATTATGGTTTGATGTATCTATGAGATATTTCTTACGATTATGCCGATAAAGGTTTGATATTGATGTTTGTTGAGAGATGACTCTAAGAGACAAACAATTTACATATCCTAATTGGTGAGATGATGATCATCACACTAGATGACGTGTCTGCGTCACTACATCATTCTATAGTGGGACATTTTATGTTTGAACGAAGCCTTGGACTTTGAAGAGGTTCAGTGTGCTATCGTTGATCTTTGGGCGTGAACTGCATGAGGGCTATATCTGAGCTGAGACAATTTCTTGGTCCCTAAGTTAGGTTAGGCTGGTTTAGAGACATATACAACGATTGTTGTGAGAACTAGCAGTGGGAGTGCACTACACAGACATACTTGTTGCACCTAGTTGGGTGCACTATTTTTACAAATAAGAACTTTGATCTGTGTATCCTTCTTGATGCTATTCAGAGACTTAAATTCATGTGGCGGATATGCCTGGGAGTTGTTGCACTATTGAGACAATAATTAATTGGATATCATACTCTTTTATAGGTACATATATATCTTGCACTTTCATTTCCTTTATTGTTTCATTATTGACCAACCTCTAATTAAGTTTTTTGTAGAGTTGGATTTGTGAGCACTTCTCTAAAATGGGATGTTGAGACAAAATCATCTAGAGGAACTAGATTGTCTAACAACTCATGTTTTTAATCTTATCAATCAACATTGAACGAAATATTAATCATAAAATAAAATAGTTAACGATGACAAACATTGAATGAGATATGTGTCTATCAGATATAACAATATATCCAATAAGATAAACAATTGTGGTAAATTTGTGTCTAATTGAAAGTAGTGTTTGATACAATAGAAATATAATCTATAAGAATAATGATCTAAACATTAATGCTTAAAAGTTCAACGTGTTAAACGCCATCAAGCGTTTGACAGAACATGTTAAACGCCATCAAGATATACACTATTATTTGGTATCTCAAACATGCCCAAGGCTTAAGACAAAAAGATCGCCAAACACTATAGAACTCTTAACAGGTGGCGCCATTTTGATGAGAGGGTCGCACCTCCCACAAAAATTGTGCATAAAAGAATGCAGTACAGTACTAGGAAGTGACTCCTAGGTCGTCTCTCAAGGACCAATTTGGGTTCAGTCTCAGATCAACACTTAGTGGGGGGTTTGAAAGTGTTTTTGTGATTAGAAATTAACTAAATTAAAATTGAAATTAAACACAATTGAACATAATTGAAAGCATTAAAGTGAATGAAAACATTAAATTGTCCTAAAACAAGATGTGCTAACTAATTATAATGTAGTAAATAATAAAGAAACACATGATGTGCTATTCAAATGCAACACTTAAGCTAACCCATTAAATACACATTCTAACTGAGATAAAACTTGAAATGCACGGTAATTGGAAAGAGAAAAAAAAAACAAAGGGCTAATAAAACTTGAATTTCACATTGCAGCAATTTCAATGCACATCATCATGGCAAAGCAACATTCTAATATATATAATATAAAAGACCAAAAACCCCTTAGGACGTTGCAGCCATGTGCACTTCTTCTTCATTCCGAAAAAAAAAATAATTAAAAGCAAGCTATTTTTTTCCCTAACCCGTAACATCCCTGCACTCACTCCAAGCAATTAATTAATCTTCTTCTTCCTGCTCCACGTGAATGGTGCACTTCCAACATCTTATCTCTTGATCATCACGTGCTGCACCCATCCTTCCAGCTGTGACCTCCTTTTCTCATCATCAATCACCGTACTCATCATTCCAATTTTAATGTTCAGTTGTGTGCTTCCAAATTCCATCCGCGTTAGACGTGCATCACTCCCGTGACTCACCAGCTCAATCCATCATGTGCTCTCTCCATGCCGTGACATACACCTTCTCCTTCAATGCTTCCAAATTTTAAAAGCAAGACTAATTCCCTGGATGTGACCCTTCAACAATCAGCACCTCCTCTCCGTGTGCACACCAACACTGGACGTGAGTTCCTTTTCTCCAAAATAAAATGTGCCCCCTTACAGCCGTGACACCTCTAGCTTTGCTGGAAAAACCGAGAGTTACTTCCACTCGCTTTCCGTGCACACCACTTCACCTACTACTCGGTGCTGCTCCAACACATTACCGCTTCATTTCAAAGGAAAAGAAAGAAGGCTTCTAATATTCTCCATCTACCGTAACGTACTAAAAGAGAAGAAGAAAATGTGTTCATCAATTGCATCCCAAAATCCACAGTAATAGCGTGCCCATTCTTCATTCGTTCCCCCTTAAAAAAAAGAAAGTGTTTTCCACCGCCCGAGAAAAGAAAAACCAAAAAAACCTAACAGAGTGTGGCGGCTGGCTTTTCCAAGGGCCGTGGGTCACCTTTAATAAGGGTGGGGTCCACACAAAAACCCTAAGGTGCCAAGTCATTTTTTTCCTTCACATTTTGGGTCTAGTCTACTTTACCAAAAATTGTCCCAAAATGTAAAAGTTGATACAGAAATTCTAAACTACTGAATTACAATTTATTTAATTCTAAAATGTCTGTGTGGAGAGTCTTGGATTTATTTGGCATTCTTCCTGATGTCCCAAAATGTATTTCCAAAATTTTCCTGCACTTCAAAAATGCACTTAATCAGCTCAGAAAACCCAAATTAGCGCAATTACAAATTTCCGACCAAATTAAGCACAATTCGGAAAATGGGGAAATAACAAACAATTAAACACAATTCCCTGGTCTATTTAAGTGCAATAAACTAAATATAATTCAAGAAATAACGACTCATCACATGGTTAGTGGCATGAGGACATAGAAGCCACACAATTAAGTAGTGGATCATTCGTTCTTCAACCTTGAATCCACCAACTAGCAGTTGTCGACGGTTGGTTTGTTGTTCAGGATGGCACAAGAAGGATTGAAAGGCGAGGAGACAATTGAAGTTCGGGACGCCAAGATGAACTTTGACAGCATCATCCCAAATTGTTAGTTGTGCGACATTCGTCCAAACGTCATCATCCAAAATTATTGGAACTCCTTTTACTTTTATTGTGATGATTCTGTCACTATAACGCATATTGAAGTAGAAGACACGTATGAGATCTAGGTAGATGCACCATTTTTGCTCCACGAGATGAGTAAGTCCTTGAGCACTAAACAGATCTGGAAATTGAAAACCATAAAATCGATAAAAATCAAGGCGTATGAACTTTACCGCCATGATTTGTCGTTCTTGCCAGAAATGGACATAATCCGCATGTTTTTATTGATCCGAAATCTACCCATCAATGGTTGCAGGACAAGGTCTGGAAGAAGAAGATGCACTAGTGGTTCTCCTACGGTTCTTCTTGATTCAGCCATGAAAGAAATGGACAG